AACAAAATAGGGGAACATCAGACTGGACAGACAACACAGGGGATTCCACACTGTCGGACCGCTCCACTCAGACCGATCCTGGCGTTTGGACGCCTGAACGAAGGGACAGGAGGGGAAACCACCTCAACTGTGTCGGACATGCATCTCCAGACAGAAGGGTGAGAAACAATGTGAGCGTTTGCAAAATTGAATACAGTGAAATAAAGACTCCATTTCTGTAAGATGGTAAAGGTGGCTTTTGAATTACTGTTGTACTACTTTGCAACTTATTTAAAAGCTGAACAGAAAAGTTTCCCTGTGATTACAGTCTTAGTGCCCCTAGAGGCGAAAGGGTCAAATCAATACCATAGCATCAATGTTTATCACTATAATATTCAAAACAGGGCTGCTCAGTGGCACAGTGGCTAGCACTGCTGCCTTGCAGCAAGAAGGTTGCAGGTTTGATTCTCGGCCTGCATGGAATTTGCATGTTCTCCCTGAGCATGGATGTGCTCAGGGAGTGTTCTCTGTTCTCTCCTAACAGTCTAAAAACATGACTGTTAGGTTAATTCTTCCGCATTCTTCTCTATATTCTCCTTAGGTGTGAGTGTGTGTGTGAATGGTTGTTTGTCCTGTTGTGACCTGTCCAGGGTGTACCCTGCCTCTCGCCCATAAACAGCTGGAGATAGGCACCACCACCCCTCATGATCCTAGCAGAGATAAAGTGTGTCAGAAGATGGATGGATGGAATATTCAAAACATTTCCGGTTCTAATTTCTAGGTCTTTTTCAAATGATTTTTGGTCTATTTCAGAACTACAGACATCTTCCAATCGGTCACCAGTCCATCACACGAGAACAAAGAGAGGGACAAGACAAACAATGATAAAACACACGTTTGTTCTGCTATATGTAGTGAGGATCACGCGTTGACTCGCATTGATTTTCAGTCATTTTCAACCGTTTCCATATATAGCCCTAAAACTGAACCATTACCAATGCATAGCTCACCCTAACCCTGACCCAGTCAACACCTTAGCCGTACACCTAACCATTAGCAGAATACCTTATGAGGACTAGCAAAATGCCCTCACTTTACAACAACTGGTCCTTGTTGTGATGGTGAAATTGGAAAAATAATCCTCATTCTTGTTTCTATACAAATGCACACACACACCTTTGATCAGTTACTGGATTGAAAGTACAAACATTTCCAATAAGTGGATAGTTGATTATACATAGAACAAATAGCAGAATAGATGCTTCTAGAATTTGAATTCAACTTTAATATTGAAACTCTGCATTTAATCCATCCCCTTGGGGAGCAGTGGGCTGATATTGTGCGGCTCCTGGAGAGCAGTGTGGGGTTCAGGGTCTTGCTCAGAGACCCAGAGTGGCATTTCTTGAAAGTAGGGCTTGAACTCTGAACCTCTGGGACCCAAGAGCAATGCCCTAACCACCAGGCCACCACCCCTTCATACAGACCACCACTACCCATCCTTCTAAGAAGGAAGTCAGTGGAATTAGAGTTTATTAAAACGTTCAATAAAAACAAAGAGCATTTTAGGACAGTTTCAAGTGAGAGAAAAAAATAACTGAAAAACTTAAGACAGCCATCCAGCTTCCTTAAGACTGGACGTCCCAGTAGATTCATCAAAAATATCAGGATGAGCAATGCTAAGATAATTGATTAAAAAACCAAGAGCTCCTTCTCAGATTGCCCAACACTCATCAATGATTGATAGTTTGGAAGGATTAAAGGAGAAAGCCAAACTTTCCAGAAAACATTTCTTAAAGACTTCTTAGACCAACTCTTTTGGACGAACAAACAAATAGACGATTGCTCATGATGCACAGTGTCATGTTGGGAGAAAAGCAAACATACCTGCTCAAAAACCACAAAACCAACATCTAGCCTTTCTAGTGCCATGATGACGATCTGGACTTTTTTGCAGCCACACCGCAAGAGCACATTGCAGTAATTTGGTCGACTACTAATGTCTGGGACAAAGTTTGTTGGACTAAAGTAGAGATCTATGACCTATAAAGGTCACCGGCTTGTTTGGAGAAAACCAAACAGTATATCAGCACAAACACATAATAGTGTCAACTATGGATGTGGAAGTGTTGATGACTGTTTTGCAAACACAATTAATTGGGCCAACTATGAACTCCTCTGTATACCAAAGAACTGTGGTGTCAATGGTGAGACCATCTGTTCTACAGCTGAGGCCTGGTTAAAACTGGGTCATCTACAAGGAAATTATTATACTCCACAACTGAATGGCTGAATAAAGGCAAAAACTAAATCAATAATTTTTGCAAAGGTCCAATAAAAGCCAAAACCGAATTCTGATAGAAATACTGCATTAAGAGAGCTAAGCACCCGTTTATATACCTCAAAATGTAACATGGAATTCAATACCATGCGTACGTTTCTGGATGATTATAACTCAGCAAGAATTTATTAAGCATGCATGGAAAGCCTTAACGCTGATATTCACCCCATAGAGATAAAAACAGCTTTTACATCACTTAGAGGTTGCAAATCACCCAGTCCCAGTTGCCTACTGAACTCTATAAAAGATTCAATGATATTTTGAAACAGATTCTTCAAAGACTATAAAAAGGCCAGTTTGATGGCCCCCTTCCACCAACCCTATCCGAGGCAACAATCATTTATTAAGGGAATAATGGACTAAACGTAGGTTTATATCGCTCAGTATCTTTAATAAATCTCAATTGCAAATATATGCCAAAACATTTTCAAATAGGTTAAATTCTTTAATAAATACTGTAATAATGACCAAACCGGCTTCATACCAAAGAGAAACGCATCATTTAATCTACATCGTCGTTTTGATATTTTATACATCGATTGGAGAAGACAATGACTTAAAAAGGAAAGACCTTCAGCCATATAGAGTGAGTGCATTTGTTAGAAAGTACTGAGACTTTGATTGATAAACTTCTACTGAAGCAAAGCCAGACACTGTTTTATACAATTCAAATTCATTTATAGACTCTATTACTCAAAGAAAAATATCAATAGTCTTTTTTCCAAATATCCCATCTATATGTGATAAATGTAAGTCCTTTGATACAACAGTCTTTCATGCATTTCTCTCCTGCCCCAACGGTTTAACTTAGTGGTCTATATATTTCAAATTTTCAGTATTTCATTGTCACCAAAACTTTTGTTAATTATCCTTGGAACATCACACATATATTAAAAAATGAGTCCTTCACAGTAAATATTTATTTATTTATTCCCTCCAAGCTTTGATGTCGTGGCCTACAGTCCCCAATTCTAAAATATGGCTGAGTGAATTATCCAATACTTCCCAAAATGGGGGGAAAAAAATAAATAAAATGAGCCTTTTATCATTAATAGAGATTTGAAAATGACAATATTTAAAAGCAAATTAGAAATTAAAAGTTAACAATAAAGAGGTGTTTATTAGGAAGTTTAGGTAAAAGCTGACCCCCCTTGTTCATAGGTAAGTATTGGTAGCCCTTCCTATGACTCAGTAGCCATGAAGTAGCCCTCCACCTTAAAATGGTTGGCGACCCCAGCTGTAGATGCTCAATAAAAATGTTCTGACAAAAGAGAGCTATGCAGAAGCAAATAAGGTTTGGTAACTTTAAAAAGGAGAGTATGGCACCACTCTTCAAAAATAATCAGATTGTACTTAAATATTTTGTTAAAAGACAGCCTTTTCTATAAGGTAAAACAAAACAAAAAATGGCTGCTTGCCTGCATACAGTAGAATACCTATTAATGTAATTTGAATCAAAGGGTAATTCTGAATCTAATCAAAAACAGCAAATATGCCCACATTTTTTACTTAATGAGCAAAAACACTGGTTCCTTATGCACTTTTGTTTTAGCTGTTAACATTTGAGTTTTTGGAAACAAATGTTTCTGTATATTGCAGATAAAAATGAAACTTTAGTTTTGAGTTGTGTAAAATGTCTGTTTTTCATTTCAATTATGTATTTGGCAGATAGCCAGATTTCACACCCCTTGTTTATTAATAATTGAACTTTATTGATCTCATATTGGAGAAATTTACCTCTGAATTTAATCAATCCCCTTGAGGAGCAGTGGACTGTATTATTACGGTAGTGTTCTTCAGTATTTTTTTTGTGTGTGTTGCTGGATTTTAGTTTCGTATTTTACAGGAATAAAAATAAAATAACTAAAACATCTACTTATTCGTTTTACATTTCAGTCCAAGACGCTGCCACACCGAAGCAGAGGTTGCTCCATGCCGGTTTCCTTCCTGCAGGACAAACTGGAGGAGCTGCATCTGCACAAAGACAAAAGCCGAGAGCCGGACTGAGGCTCCCTCTTCCTGCTCAGACAGCGCGGCCATGTTTGGGCTGAAGCTGCGTCTCAGTGACATTGAACTTATCAGACTTTTGGCTGTGGAACAGCAGCAACTGTAAATGGACTTGATAACTGTGTCATTCTTCATGTACCAGTCCTGTTAGTTTTAGGCATCGACTGTCCTGCGTAATTTATGAAAACCATGTTTTATTTCAAGCACGGGTGCCTTGGATTTCTGGTGCTAAGATTCTTATGGAGTTTCTGAAAGCCTATAGACACCTTCACACACACTAGGCAGTAAAAAATATGTTCAGTTTAACTCCGGCAGCTATATGACAATTAGGAACTAGGTAAGCAAACATGTGCCTTCATGTGGATCTGGATGAAAACTTTAACCAGCCTAGGCTTTTGTTGCATTAACTGATCTGTGGCCTAAAAATAAAAAGTAGTTTGTTTTCAAGCAACATGCAAACATAATCTTGGATCATCTGACATGAAAATATTTACGGTTCAGCAGGACTGCACTGAAACAATACACATGGTCTAATTATTTTCAGATTCCATATTTTGTCCTTTGATTTCATTTTTTTCTCCAAAAGAAAAATAGAGGAATACAACAGGTATAAATCAAGTGTCGAGTTTCATTTTACTTCACAAATGAATGGAAAAGACATCTTCCACACATCCAGTGGCATTTACAACTGTGTTTATTGTATAAAGACACAACAGCTGGCATAACTGGTCAAAAATCTGATTCTTTTAAGGTAGAAAAAAAAATGGCTTGAACTACAAGACTCGATGAATATAAAGGGGATGGAAATTAAAAAAAAGGCAAATACAACTACACAAGCGGCAAAGGATTACTCAATCAAAGGTCAGATTAAATACTACAGTACCAACACCTATAAAAATGCTCCATAATGTTCGGTTTCTATTGCGGTAAATAAAAGATGCTCACTCAGCAACTGAAAAATAAAAAGCAAGACAGAGGGCTGGGTAATAAAGGTAAGAAGCATGCATTTTGTTCTCTGTTAAGCTTAGTCAGAATTTCTCTTCCTGTCGTCTTTTCTTTCTGTAGCCTATAATTATACAGTCACCTCTTCAAACTGAGGGAAACGTGGAGGTCAGACATCCACATCTGATGCATAATCATTAACATTCATTACATGTTCAGAATAGCTATCATCTACCACCTCACGTTCAATGCTTAAAGACTCGGTTCAGTAAAAATAAACAGACGAGCTGTATAATGTGTGTAAGAAACAGAGGCTAGTGTGTTAAAACAGACAGGATCCATAATTGGTGACTTAAAGAGAAACTGTACAAAAACAGAAAATGAATTCATTGCAGAGGTCAGAGGTGTTGGGGAGGAGACTGGCAGAATCAGGAGCAGATGCAGGAGGAGGCTACTGGGAACCAGAAGAGGAGCCTTGGCTGCCCTGTCCAGGGTAGCCACCATATTGGCTGTAATACTGGTTCCACTGGTTCTGGTTTTGGTAGTACTGCTGCCACTGCTGAGCATACTGGAAGAAACGAAAAAAAGAAAGCGGTTATAGTTTTACAGAAGGATAGTTATGGCTAAAAGCTCTAACCAACAGCAGCACTCAGACAGACGGGCTAGAACCAGCAACCCACTGTTAAAAGGACAAAGCCTCCCCTCCTGAGCCACCATCAGCCCTGCACAGCTCTCACAGGGCCTCCATGTTTACAGCTACAGAAATAACACTGCCTGCATTACTTTCGTATAAATATAAGATAAACAATACTGGATTTACCCTTTTAATCCATATTTCCTCTCTGATTGCTATATTAAATGAAAAATATCAATATTGGTTCAATGTAACCTTTTACCAGGCTATCAGAGGTATAGGAACAGCAAATCAGCAATGACCACAAAGATCAACCTGTCATCTTTAAGCAGCAGTCTGAAGCATGACCTTCTATATATGCTTCAATATATAGAAATAAATATATCTATAGAGCAAGTCTTTATGTCATTTTATTGTTGAAGGCTAAAATAGTAAAACGCCATGAATCACAGCAAAAGGGATTTAATGACACCGGACATCATTTAAATATCCTGAGATGCATAAAGCGCCACCTATTGGCACCTAGGAGTCAGTGGTAACTGCTAACATTTTATTCAATGGTGGAGCAGCTACTGAGCTCTACATTACCTTCTGTATCAAGCTAATTATAAATGACCGTATTTTCACGACTATAAGGCGCATTTAAACTTCTTTTTTTCCCCTCAAAATGTGCGGCGCGCCCTATATATGTTGTTACTGCGGACTTTTTAGACCACCTCATTGAGGAGATGATGAAAGAGTGGCTGAGGGAGGTGAATGTAAGGAGACCAGGTGTTTTTTTTCCACTCATCACCATCGCTGTTAATCTGTGACTCCATGCGTGCCCATCTCACAGCTGATGTGAAAAACATGGTGAAACAAATTAACGCTGTGCTCGCTGTTATTCAACCGCTCGACATCGGTGTGAACCGGACGCAACATGTGCAGCAGAAGCAGCTAGTTTATATGCAAAGTCAATGGTTGACGCGCGTATAGGCGCAGCAAAAGGTCCCGCAGCGCGTTTTGAGCAGCAGGAGCAGCGCGTCGGGAGCGTTTAAGCATCTGACGTGCTTGACGCGCCGCCAACGCGCTGCTGCTGCTTGAGATGGAAAAATTGAAGTTTTGCTGCTGGACGCACCGCATCAACCAATCAGAGAAGCTGATCTGGGAGCTGACAGCGAGACAGGCACAGCGCTGATAAAACACATATACACAGCGATGTGTGGGAGCGATGGATGACCGACAGAGAGCACAGTTTCATGAAAAGTGGAAGGCAGCGCCGGGCAAGTTACGCCACCGTTTGCGGATGGATTGTAGATGCTTGGACTAACGTGTCTGCTGGCATTGTTGTTTGAGCTTTCGCAAAATAATCTAAACTGCAGGCACCAGGATAATAAAAACGAACATATTCTGTCGGCAGGTTTCAGGATTTTAAGTTAATTTATGCGTCAAAACTGTTTCAGAGGAGTGATCACAGCCCTGTGTCATCAGCTATGTCTCTCTCACGGCCAGCTCCCAGGTTTGAATAATACTTGGTAATAAATACACCTTGCAGCTATATTTGCTGTGATCAGTGGGAATAAAGTAGTTTTAATATGTTTTTAAGTGAGAAAGTCCACCTGAAAATTTAATAATTGCAGTCAGTTCATCCAGATTATCATCCTGCCTTCTTGGTATTTCTGTCGGAGCTGCTCAGACCCCCAGATACCAGCAGTGCGCCGACAGTAGGAATCCCATGAAAACAGCAGCCTCTGGCCAGGTCGCCTCCTCGCGCTTCACCGCGGCGGCTGGCAGGTGTTTTTCATCTAAATAATCTAAACTGCAGGCACCAGGATAATAAAAGCGAACATATTCTGTCGGCAGGTTTCAGGATTTTAAGTTAATTTATGCGTCAATAAACTGTTTCAGAGGAGTGATCACAGCGCTCTGTCATCAGCGATGTGTCTGTCTCACAGCCAGCTTCCAGGTTTGACTAATACTTTGTAATAAATACATGAATAAAGCACAATCATACTCAGTTTTGCTCACGCTCTATTTTTAAATACGCAGTAGAGGTATTTAAGCGTAGTAGAGGACATGTACCGGTGTATAAAAAATGCACCCTATAGTCCGGTGCGCCTTATGTGTGTCTTAAATACAGAAATGGGACACATAACTGAGACTGCGCCTTTTAGTAGGGTGCGCCTTATGGTCGTGAAAATACAATAAACACTGTTTTATAATGAGAAAGCTGGATTATGTTGTAACTGATGATTGTTAAAGAGGCTAAATTGGTAAGAATATAGTCTGTAAAGGCAAAACTAAGAAGGAACAACTAAATTGCTTCAACAAGCTGAACTTTAAAGCGAGAAACATTGCATTGCAGGGGTTAAATAAATATCCAACTTCTCTGGTTTGAGTCTTCAGTTGGATTTAGTCTACAGGTATTTTCTGCCAGCAGGACCTCATCCTGAGCCGCCATGCAGCTGTGGTTTGTTATTTATCACCAGATTAATTACCTGCTGATATTGCTGGTTGTAGCTCTGCGTTTGCTGCGCTGGTGGTTGCTGCGCGGGCGGCTGCTGGTGGTGGTTGTACGTCTGTGCAGGTGCAGGTGCAGGTGCAGGTGTCTGGCTGTAGCTCTGGCTGTATCCTGGGTACTGACTGTAGCTGCTGTAGTAGTTCTGGTTGTAGTTGCCCTGGTTGTACCCCTGATTGTAGCTCTGATTGTAGCCCTGGTCAATAAAGGAATCCAAAGCTTCAAACATCTCTGAACCCTTTTAAGAGTAAATTAAAACCTTAAAGACGGATGGAAGATCAGCTACCTGGCTGTATCCGCCCTTGTTGTAGGAAGCTGGGCGATTGTAGCTTCCTCCTGACGGCTGGCTGCGGCTGTAGCTGCTGCGCGAATCTGAGCCTCCGTCACGGTAGTTGTTACCCCACCGGTTCTGGTTGTAGCTGCCACGATTGTAACCTGCAACACACAAAAGAAAGGAAATTACAGAGAGAAAAAAACACCATTCCTTTGGTAAAGAAAAAACGAATTTCCTCAACTCCAAATGCAAAATGACAAAAAGTCCCAGTATTTTCTTCAAGCAGACTGTTTAAATCTTTTTGTGGTAATGCCAAACAATAAAACTAAACTAGCAAGCTGGGTAAATAAGAAAGGTCTTTTTAAATTATTATGAAACATGTGTCTGAAATAAGCTTTAAATCGTTGCTTTTTGTTCAAAAGCAATTTGTATTCGGACAAAATATTTTTTTGTCAGCAGGATTTCTTAAGATATATCACATCAACAGATCCAGAGATACAGTAAAGAACTAATTATTTAAAAAAAAATCTTTATAAATACCAGTTTTATAGATTTTATAGGTCCAAAATACATAAAATACTGATTATGATGCTCATTTTGATATGAAGGGACTCTGCACCAATAGGAACAGTTGAAGCATGCGAGACTGAGTTCAGCCAATAGCAGGTCCCAGCAGCTTTATGATATAGAGGAGAAATAGCTTCTTCGTTACATTTCTCAGATAAAAAATTAAATTCAATGAAGACATCATATCATTGGTAAAGCTTTTTGCTGCTTCAGAAAGCAAAGAGGCTCAGAAGGAACGCAGAGGTTACTGCCTTTTTCCTGAACAGGTAGAAGAGCAACAACAGGTATCCAGTTGGCAAACGGTACAGAATGAGAGCCTTCAAATGTTTTTTTTTAACCATCCAACTGTAGAAATGTTACTTAAGGTTATGCTGTGAAAAAAAGAAACCCATTTAACCATGCTGACATTTAAATCAATAAGGCACAATGAAAACTTCCTGATGTCGAGCCGTTAACTCAGTCGTCTGCTGTAGTAAAACTGACATGTGTCCATTAGACTCAAGCGCGTTTGTGAAGGAAGGTGTTAAATCGGCTTCCTAGAGCCAACAGCTGCAGAACAAAGGCTAAGATTTAGTAAGACCACATACTGAACATGGACACTAACCTCCTCTGTATCCACTGCCTCCATCTCCACTACGGTTCTGGTAGCCACCACGGAACCCGTCCCGGTTGTCATAGCGCTGGTAGCTGCCACTGCCGCGGCCACGGAACCCACCCTGCCTGTTATCAAAGCGCTTGTCGGGAGGTGGGCCGGCCTTGCGGCCCTCCTCGTTGTACTGCTTCAACAGCTTTTCAGCCTCTTCACGCTGCAGCTCCACAAACGCCACATCCTCTAGGAAATCGCAGGGCTCAGGGAGGGTGAAGTTGGCTGAAGGAGCGCCCAGAGACGACCATTGCAGTAGGAGACCACCCATCAGAGCAGAGACGGATGGAGAGGTGGAAACAGGGGGAGAGAGAGGGGAAGGGGATGTGTAGTGGAGACCAGAGCAGCCACACCACCGGAAGACAAAAATGAGACATAATTAGTACTAGGCAAGGGAAATATAAATTAGAGAAATGAAGAGAAGATAATGAAAGCAGATGGCAGGAAAAAGGAATCAAACATCACCTCCAGGAGGACGAGGAGGAAACATTTGTTTTGACAGAGAGGAAGGGGACATCAGAAGAGATGGGGGAGGGAACAAAATGAACGACTAAAAAGTTGTGAAGAGGAAACAGCACTGCAAACCAAGCACAGCTCCTGGAAAGGTTGGATAATAACCATCTTTACTCAAAAACATGACTACTTCTTAGCACCAAGGAAATCTCCTTTTCATGGTCGCCAAAAATGCCAGATTTTCTCCTATGTGACCAGAACAGGGCAGAAGTCTCAGTTTGCAGTGTGCCAAGAATCAGAATGAAAAGTGTCAGAAAAAGGGCAAAAATAGGAATCAAATTTATGTGAACTGTTTCAAACAAAAACAAAAAAATAATTCCAGGTCTGATATCTGGCCAAAGGCTATGGTGGGTAGGGGGCAGGGGACATCTTCCAAGTTTGATTTTAGAGACAACACAGAAAAAAAAAAAAAAGTAGATCTTTTTACATTTTTTTTAATCATTTGCTTCCACAGCATTCCTACCTTTCATTTCTAACACAGCATGATCGGGCACATCCTTCCCCTGCTCATTGGTTTGCTTTAATGTTCGTTCTTTAAAATCCTCGTCCGTGGGACAAATTACAATAGCCTTGCGTTGAAAACCTTCAAAAGGACGCATTTTTCGTCTCCTTGCTGATCCATATACATTTGTCTAGCAATGGTGACAAGAAAGAAGTAGAAGCTTGTTTGTTATTGTTTACTTGTAATGGCTTTCCACTGGAAGGAAGCTGGAACCCTGCAATAATCAAGTGAGAGAGGTTTGGCTTCGGAGTCGATCTACTGGGTTTTTTTTTCAGCCCTCTCATCACTCCACAGACTCACCTTGAAGCTGAAGCATCCCAGGGCCCAGTGACTCTTAACCCATGTTAGTTATCAGAGGGGACCCTACACTAAACTATACCGTCTGCTTTACTTGTTAAGAAGAGCAGGATGCGCAGCTTTCCTATCAGTGAATGACAGAAGATTTTCAAATTGAGCTGGTGAGCGACTTTCATCATACAAAGACGATCCGTCATTGTAAAGCATAGTTAATGTGCTTATTGTTGACTGTTCAGGCAGTTAAGAGTAAAAATCTGTGCAAACATCCAGTCTCACTGAACTGCGAGCCTGAAGGATTCCAGAATCTAAAAACTTTATGCAAAACTGCTGGAAATATTTAATCGACCCCGAAGCAGCTTATTTAAGTTTTAAATGAAATGTAGGTCACAAAACATTGAAAAACAAATTAAAAAACACTTTTTAAAGTGAAGCATTACAAGACGCAGTGATTAAAATGCTGCTTTGTCCGCTGCGGAACATTTCAAACAAAGAAGGGTTGTTAAATAAAAAAGAAAAAACACCCAGAAAACTCTGAATAAACCCTTAATTACACAAATAAGACTTTACTTTCACTTAAAGAGCTTTCCTGTTTCCTGGCTTCATGAAAACCACAACTGTTCGGCATATTACAAGAACTAAACATCCAGGGTACTTGATCTTACAAATCCCAACTTTAAAGCACCTTTTGACATTTGGAATAGAAATTTTAATTGAAACTATGACAATATCGGTCTTAAAACGAATAAAAAAAAAAAATAAAAAATAAAAAAAGACTCTCTCCCAATTGTTCAACTAATTAAGTAATCGATTAATCGTTAAATGTATAGATACTCTATAATATACCTTTAGCTGACAGGGTGACCCACTTAGAGCAGTCATATTGTAAACAAAATACATTAAATTTTGCATTTCAGATTAAAACTATTTTTCACGACTGTCAATATGCTCTATCCAGAACTCCTCGGGTGGAAAGGTTTTAGTTTCACCTGGTTTAATATAATAAAATATCTTCAAGGAAGCTTTGGCTATCCATTTCTTCAATTCATAAAAAAATAAATCGACAGATTAAGTGCTTTGCAATTGTATGCGTGTCATTAACTACACAAAGCTGCTAAGCATAATACACTTCTTATCTAGGTCTGGCGGGTCTAAATGTTACAGCTGTTGTTCATGTCCAAGTATGGGGTGGTCCTAAATCTCAAAAAAAGCATTACAGACGTGTTTAGACATGAGAAAAAAAATAAATGTGTGTTACTGTGTCGTTTTAAACCAGTCGATCGGACCAAAACGCTTTAGGATCAGAGATAAAAAAAAAAAAACTTTAGCATCATTAGCAGGAAAAATTACCACTTTCTCTCAGCCCCCATTTATTCTGGCAAAGTACACTAGATCCTGCCAACAAACGGATTTAAACAGGGGGTAGGGACTTCTTAATGGTTCTTTTGTCAAAAAAACGCTTAAAACAAATTATATACAAAGCCTAGATCATACCTCCCATGTCACACTGACTGCAGTATGTATAGAGAGGCTCCGACTACGCAGGGCGAGCAGATCCTGATCTGTGCAGATTTTTCTTCACTTCTGTCTCAATTGCCGACTAAGCAAAACAATTACCCACACTTGACTTATGAAAAAAAAAAGTGTGGCTACAAAGCAGTGTTCATGCATTTGTGCAGCAGTTCTTAAACCAGAACACAGAATTTTTATAGGCCTATATTACAATATAATGAGAACATCTGAAGAAAAGCAAACTGAAATTTGGTGAATTTTCCCCCCAAAGCTGATGTGTTTTACTTTGTAACCATATCTCTCTTCCTGTCAGAACTATGAAATTGTTGCTGAATTGCTGCGTAGTCTGACTAGAATAGATCTATGGCCTATCTCTCTCTGAGTTCCAGAAAATCGTATTCATAGCAATTGACTTTCAATGATCACTAAACGCAACGACCTTGTCCATCCTGATGTTCTGTCACATCATACGGATAATCGGATTTGGTGTATTCAGGGCTAAATAGTTTCTAACACGTTTAATATTGTAACAACATTATAAATCCAACCATGCGGTCTGCAGAGACCTCATAAAAATGAGAACTAGTAGTCATGTGTCTGGATTTTCTTTATAATACTGAAAAGAAAACAGCAGCATATGTTAAAAGACTCAGACTAAATGTTGATATAATCCGTGTGTATACATATAATGTTGGTGATCACAGTAGATGTAAAGCTTATAGGAGTGCAAATTGGCGATAAAATAAACATTACAATACATATATCACAGTACAATTTATCCCAATACACTAACAACGACGACGATATTTTGCGATATTTTTAATCATAACATAGCTCTAATACAGCTTGGAAAACTTAAAGACATCTCGCTGTTACAGAACAGCTGAAAAATAAGCTCTTAGGTGGTACGCAGATAGTGGCTGGAGGTTATATAAAAAGTAACACAAAAGCGTGGATGTTGCACATTTAAGACAATTTAGCCACATTGTGAATCCAATATCGTCGATTTAACTTTTGCGATATTCAAGGATTTGCCATTTGTTATTACACCCCTAATAGATTTACTTTTTAGCATCCTTTTCAACAACTATCAGATGAAGCCCGTCTTAAACCTCTATCCTGCATTCCTACAGCTTTATTCATAATCTATGTTATCTATGTTTTCTTATAGTTATCGTACATGTAGCAAGAACGAGAAAAAAACTGCTTGATCATTATCTAGAACACAATGTTTAAACAGACCATCTAAAAGAGTGTGCCTGAAAATGTCATGCAGATAAAAGCAAGTTTACTTTCTTGGATCTAAAGAAATATAAAAAAAACTAAAGTAAATTACTTTTAAAAAAGTACAACGGTGTTAAAATTGGACTTAACTGTTTCATGTAAATAAATATTCTTAATCAAAGAATCTGCAATTCAATTTCTCATGAATATATGGGGGGAGCCGATTTAAAACGCCTGACTATTTTAATGGGTCCCTCTCATTAGTTTCACTTACCTTTTTCTTTTAACGAGCTCTAGTCCCATCCAGACGAGGACAAACATTTATAACTTACCCTCAAATACTCACAGTTTCCATAGAAAAGCCACAGAGTCACTAGACCCACTTACCTTTTAACATTCAATGAGCACAAGGATCTGAAAATCTAAGTGATGTTAGTCACTACTTACCTTCAGGGTCAAATTATTAAAATAATTTTTAAAAATACACTCATAAGCTCCATCTTTCTCACTTAAAACTAGCTTTTAAAAAAGCTTTCAACTCTGGCTTATTAAATTAGCAACAGAAGGTGTTTTTCTTACTCACCAGTCAGAGCTTACTTGTTTCTGAACATCTTTACAAAGTCATGGTTTACTTGTACATTTCTCACAAGACAAACAATACTGTAATATGACATGGAATAAATAGCAAAGTGCAAAAATACTGAAGTAGCAAAAACATGACATTATTCTGTCGCTTATGAAAGCCATTAATCATTTTCTGTTACATGACAAGCAAGTGACAACAGGGTGATCAATGCTTCTTCTACTCTATAATACACAGAGACCCCCTGAAAGATAAATAAATAATCCATTAGAGAAAGTGATCATCAGGGCACATTGACTCACTGTGGTGAGTATTAGAACCGAGTATAGGAAGAGGAGCAGTACCTGATCCAGGATGTAGTTCCGTCTCTTGCGGGCGGCGATCTCAATCAGCCTGTTCAGACACTGGGTGGCTTGTTGGATGAGGACATCCCAGCGCCCGGCGTAGTTTCTCTGACGACGGAGACCCATCACCTGCACGGCAAACAGACAGGATTTAAAACCAGAACATTCGTGTGAGGGTCCATGATTTTTTCCGAGAGTTAGGACAGTCGTCAAAAGAGACCTTCATTTTGTCCATGATGGCGTTCGTGCCAAGGATGTTGTACTTCTTGTCTGGATTTTCTTCAGCGTGTTTAATGGCCCACGTGGTTTTTCCACAGGCAGGAAGACCAACCATCACCAAAATCTGAAACAAGAAAAACACAGATGCATTTCTGTTAAGCATCATCAGTTACAAGATACTTATTTCGAAGGCTGAGACTTGTAACGTGATGCATTAGCGTGATGTCTCAAGTATTCATAACTTATGTATAACGCAGCATGAGGCAATACTCATCACGCAGCATCGGTTAAAGCTGCTCCCTTCAGGCGCATAGCTGCTCATGAGGGGAGCAACGATGATACTACTGCCCCCGGGGGGGAAAAAATAAATTTAAAAAAAAGAAAAAGGTGTCACAGCAGATTCAGAATAATTTCTGGATCCATCACACCTGCTCTCTCACCCTATGAAGGGGATGCAGTCTGGAGAAGTTACTCATAGGTAACGATAAACTGGGCGCCATGGGTTATGAGTAACTCACACTTAACGTAATTCAAAAATCAGATAACTTATCTGTAATTTATGGCCCACATATGACATGCGTCAGGAAATTTTGAGCATGCCGTATTTCAGCACACTTCAGCATGCTCATAAGCAGTGGTGTCAAAAGTACACACATTTGTTACTTAAGTAGAAGTATAGATACTGCAGTTTAAAAACACTCTGGTAAAAGTTGAAGAAGGGCTGGGCGATAATTCAATAACGATATATATCGATCGATAGACGTGTGGCGCAATAGAAAAAAAAGAGAGTCGATAAAAGTTCGATAAAGAAACGCATTTTCCTTCCTTCTCATTGTAGCCTAGCATGTAGGTTTATGCTAGTCACTACTTCCTCCCAAACAATCACAATCGCGGACCCAGGCACGCCGTCACAAAGCGCCGCCCTCTCAAACCACAACACAGAGCACATGCAGATGTCGCAGCAAGGGGAGGCTTTATTTATTTGTTATATTTATTTTGGTCACTTTTCTGGTCACTTTAGTTTATTCTTTGTCAGTATTTAATAACATAACTCAGGTCTCTTAAGTTATTTTTCTTTAAAACAATTCTGTTATGGTTAAAAAAGTTGGTTAAATAAAGATTTAATTCGAAGTCTGTGTTTGTGTTCTTTATTAAAATTAAATCATTTAGCAATATCAAAATGTCCAGCTGCACATAAAATATGGTTTCAAATCTTTTCAATAATTATCGATATCGATCAATATGCATTTTTTTTTATCAATAAGCTTTTTTTCTATATCGCCCAGCCCTAAGTTGAAGTATCAACTTGACCTCTTTACTCAAGTAAAAGTGAAAAAGTATGTGCTCCAGAAACTACTTAAAGTATTAAAGTAACCTTTAAGAAAAAGGCCAGATGCCGCTATATGAACTGAAAGCTCAATTTTTCGACTATTTCTAAAAATTCTTTGAGATAGGGCCAAGGATGAGGGAGGTCTTGTTGGTCTCTGTCTCCATCTCCCGATACGCTCTCGCCTGTGTCCGACCTTTCAGACATTTAGACATGTTTTTCTGAATCAGACATTGTAGCATGGCATAGACAATTCACGTTTACAGTTTGAAGAACACCTGCTTGCTTCTGATGATTTCCTTTAACTAACCAATGAGTGTTTGCGTTATATGACTCATCCAGTTACACTAGTTTTCACTAGATGTGGATGGCACCAATGATCTGCATTGGATGGCGCACATGACGTGAAATATATATTTAGAAACATTAAACCACGGGTAACTAATAATAAATGAGTGGGGTTCGGATAAAGAAAATCAACCAGTGAATATCAGGAGACATTTTTAATTATCTGTTACTTTAAACAGAATTTAACACTCAAATAAAATGACGTATTTATGCATTCATGTTACATTGAATTAAAAAAAAACAGATGAGAAAGTAAAAATAGAAATGGCCAAATATTGCATCCTGTTCTATCTGAGAGGAGTTTACACTTGTATGACTGTATTCCTGTATATCCATCACTAGTTAAAAGACAAGATTCAGCAAATGCAAATTCTGCCTGTAAAATAATGACAGGGCAATTGTCGCTGTACGATCCGAGGCCTCATTTGGAGCTTTTAAACAGGCTTTTGAAAAACTTTGATAATTTGCTGCTGTGATATTATAGATTCAGTATTATAAGAAAGCCCACACTGTTTCTGAATAAATACATTATTGTATGAGTTACGTTCCGTTTTTGTCTCTTTCCTTGTAAGTATGAAATGTCCCATGCTCCTAAATGCACCATAGCTGTCTGACGCTCGCGAATGCATCACACTGGTCTGTGTAGATGCGCGTTTGATTTTCAGCTGAAGACAAAGCTTTGCAGTTTCAAAACCCATGTCGTCTAATCGCTGTTTATTGTTGTGTGTGAATAACAAGAGACTACAACAAATACATCAGCTTTACCTCGGACAAACTCTTTGGATTTAATGTTGTTCATAACATCGCAGTCCACTAATCCGTGACCTGTGCTTTAAACCGAAGCCAAGAGCAACAAGTAACGTTTGTTTTAAAAATGTAAGGAATAGAAAGTAAAGATAATTGTGTGAAAATGTAATGAGTAGAAGTCAAAAGTAGGAGGAAAAATAAGTAATGGAGTAAAGTATAGATACCTAAAAAGTGTACTTAAGTACAGTAACGAAGTATTTGTACTTCGTTACTTGACACCTGTGCTCATAAGTTATGCAAAACATACCCATAACTAATCAAACGTATGCCAGCATTTTTGCCAGATTTTCTGTATATCAGACAAACATTGGTCTAAATCTTAGGGCTTAACCCCATCACTTCTCTAAAACACTTTATCAGACATGAATATTTAACAAACTCCAGGGTAACGATCTCTTACCTCGCATTCCGATTTGTTGGCAGGCCCTTTTGTGCCTCTGATTTTCTCCTCCATAGGAAGATCATGGAGGAAGGTGTATCCCTCTAGTGGGGGGAAGTAGGGCTCCCGCTTCTGCCCAAAGTTGAATTCAACAGCGCAGTTCTTCACCAGCACATGGGGGAAAAGAGCGCGTCCTGCCAGCGCCTCCTTGGTTGTCCGGAAAGCTACGCCGAGATTCACTCCGTTCTTGGAGAAGCCCATCTCTACTTCATTACTGGTTTCAAAGTCCTACAAGTTATGGTATTCAATAACAATCAGCTATTTCACAAATAATTTTTTTTTAACAATAAACTACAACAAAAATCAGTAATTCAGCTTTTATTACTCCTTATGAAGAATAAAGCAGAAGTATAAAAATAACTTTAAGGTGTGACTTTAACATTTGACTTACTATGTAGCAGCCGATGACATCATTTTCACCAAACTTCTCGCCAAAATCTGCAAACTTGCAGTCACTGGATTTTTTCCCTGTCCCTCCATATCCAAAGGAGAAGGGCTCCTCACCTACGAGAGAGGAAAAATAAACAATGACTGAATCATCATTAAGGAGAAACCCCGCCTTCCATCACACCCGTTCTCTTGCCACGCTCAGGCTGACAGTAAACAGCTAACCCACTGCCTAGCTAATGTTCGCTACCAATGTTGTCGCTAGTCCTCTTTTTCTCACGAGTACAAATTTTCACAGCAATAACCATTGATGTGCTTCAATATATGCAATTATAATTTTATATTGTGCTTTGAGAAATGTTTGTAACCACTTACAATGTGCATAAACTTTCCGATATGTAGCCAGAATTAAATCTTTGCACAGATCATTCAAGTGTACCCAAACCTTGTGCGAAAATGCTAAACATCAGTAAAGTATCCAGCCATCATTTACGTTTACTGTCGCTATTCTCACCAAGCTGAGTGCTGCAGTTGTTGAGGGACCATCCAATCCTGACCACGTGGGGATCAGGCTCACTGCTGGGCAGGTGCTTTACAGGAATCTCTTCATTAATCTGAGAAAAACATAAATGCGTGTAAATAGATGGGAAAAACAAAGCATTTGATAAAGATATTTAAAAGCTTATAATGGTTAAAAATATTTGAGTCTTTAAGCACAGAAAATGTATTAGAAATACAAAAAAAACAGAAAGTCATTCCTGTTTAGTGTTGATGTACTATGCATGGCTGTAAACTCAAACTAAATTAATGTACTGGTGTGCAAAAATCAGTGTGAAATATCAATAAATCGGTTTTTAAAGGACTGAATGGCATCCTTTTATCAGGCCCCTCATTCATGCTTCAGACATCAATACGCAATATTTAAGGCAAACAGAAGCTGCTTTACTGTAACCTACCTTCATCTCGTAACAAACACGTCCCTGAGTCACACCATGAGTTGCTCGAGCTCCAGCCCACAGGTAAGCGAAACCTTCGATGGTCAATGGGTAACCACTGTAACGATCCCTGGACACTTTGAAGTGCAGATCGCAATTGTCTGGGGGGAAAAAAAACAAGAAGGAAATGTAATGCAAAGGTTTTTTTGGACATCATAAACTCATTCAATTAGATTATAAGGTCAGACCCAGTAGCTGTTAAACCTTCATTTGAAATTCTTTGAAAAAAGTTAACAGTTAATATTCATAAACTGCAATTTAAAACATAATTGAACAGACTTCTCTAAAGTAAACCTTGAGGAGACGGTTAAAAATTGTTTCAAATTTAGTTGTTTTTCTGTGAAAGGAGCATCATTTCTTACCAAAACAACCAAGTTAATGCTGCAAAGCTACAAAATACTGAAGGGAGGAAATGAAAATCTCCATCATGTGATCAACAGAAAAAAGTTCAGGTCTGTTTCAATAAAAAAAAAAATTATTAAAATGACACAAATCTTAAAACTGTTTTCTGTTTACAAGAAAAATAACCTACATGTATCAATTGTTACTATGGTGTCGTCTACATTTTCTTCTTCGTCTTCAGCCGGAGGTTGTGGTGTACGAGATCTGAAGAGAAGAGCCTCAGATTATGGGCCTTGAACATCACAGCATATTTATCTTTTTACTTTGGCTGAGCTTTGATTTGCTTACCTCTTCTCCTCACGGTGCTCATAGTAGCCATAGCTTCTGTTCTCCTCATGTGGTCTCTTTCGGCTATTCCCACCTTTGCTGTCTTCCACTTTGATTTCAGCCTGGCCCTGCTGTTCTGTCCCCTGAGCCTCTTGCTGTCTGTCTTCAACAGGCCCAGTCTCATCTTCTGTTTTAATTTCGGTTTTAATGTCTGAAAATTAATTTTAAAAACATTTATACAAGATCACTCAGGGTCTAAGAACCTTTTTTAATAATAATACAAATCAGAATCTTATTTGAATGAATTTTGGTTCTGGAGCAGCAGAATTAATGTAATGCAGTAATAAATAATCTAATAATAACCATTTGTGTTTCCCTCAAACGTCGCCTCTGGCTTGCTCTCCTCCTCAGACATCACGCTCGATCTTTGCACATCATCATGACCGGGGTCTGAAGTTTGTTGACTTTCGAACTGCTCGGTTTCTGCTCCAGTTTCCTCTTCCTCATAGTAGCTGCCAGAATCTCTTCCTTCATCTTCCTGTTGAGGGTTATCACCGCCATCATCCCCACCATCATCATCATCATCACCACCTCCGAGGTCTTGATCTACAAATAAACAAAACGACATTGCAATTTTGATCCCTCTACTGAAGAGTGATTTCCAAACTACAGTCTCATTCCAGAGCATGATCAAACAGGTGATTCTATGAATGAAATTAAAAACTTAGTGTATTATAATACTGATTTACATAACATATTAACCCAAACTGATGGCCTTTAGGTGAACCAGTACCAGTTAAGAGCCAATACAATGTGTCATACATAAAGTTTGAAGAATGTCAGTCATAAGACTATAATAAACAACCAAAAGGTTATCATTACTGCATCACATACAGAGGTTACAATTAATGTAAAGTATCCTTGACTTTAAAATGCAGCATATTACCTTGCTGTTCTTGAACATCCTCTTCCTCTTGGGTTTCATCGCCATATTCCTCCTGCCCAGTTTGCTCTGAGGTATCCGTCTCAGCTTCAGCCTCCAGAGCAGCTTTCAGCCTCTCCATCAGATCCGCCTTCAGGCCTTTCGTATCAAGGCCGCGGCGCTGGAGCTCCTCCTTCAACTCATTCACTTTCAGTTTTTTCACGTCTAAACTCATGCTTGGTCCGTGTGTTATCTGTAGGTTTAGTAGTCTTTCTTGAATAGCAGAGCAAGAAACAAAGACACACCACGGTTAACCAAAGTTTCACACTACTGCTTCTGACTTTCAAACTGATCCGCTCTGCGCGGTTTCTCTGCTGAACGGGATACGTAACGGTGCTGCTACGCTAGCTAGCAGCGCTGCACCGACAACACACATTTGCACGACAAAAACAGCCTCCCTAAATACACAAGGACACGAATTGACAAAAGCTTTGTTAGTAAATGTGTACCTTCAAGTAAAATCTCTCGCATATATGTTTATATGGCAACTCCTCATTGCAAAGCGCCATTATACGACTGAGTACGGTAACCTTCTCAGCCTAGCATTAGCTCATTTGCCGCCAAGAGATGCAAAACAATTACCTTTTTCACTGATAATATAAACTTCCTGTGTGTCACTCTGCTTTTTCATACAAACAATGCAGTTACTGCGTCGTAAATATGATTTGCAATGCAGCTATGAAATGAAATATGATGAAAAATAAAGCTGAGGCCTACCTTGTTTGAAGAGAGCTGCGCGGGTAGTCCTCGTAAGAGCCTAAAAGAAACGCTAGCGCCCCCTAGCGTCACGGACTTCTTCTTCTTTCCTTTTATTTGCGAATTGCAAACAACTGACAGCTGCATACCGCCACCTACTGTACAAGAGTTCATAGCTTCACAGGTTCCACCTACTATACTTTATTATTTTCTTTTGCGAAAAATAAAAACCAAATCTTTATTAATTACCCTAATTTTCTCTATATATAAATCTGTCCCTAATATTCCTTTAATACTCCATTCTCTTTCCTCTGTTTCTGTTGCATATTTATAACAATTTAGACTCAGACAACTTTTATTGTCACGCAATTTCGTTTTGTACAGCTCTCAGAACATTTCCATCCCATAATGTGCAACAGTGCATCAAAACATGATGCACTGCATTTTCTTTTCTGAACCATCTGTGATCAGTTTAAAAAAAACTATAATACAATTGTCTAATATATAAGTTAGTTTTAACCCCAACTTTGTTATATTTCTACTCTCTAATGAGTGCATGTATTTCTAAGTCGACATTTGTTTCTGGAAACAACCATCGTGAAACCGAACCAATTGGGTTATTTTTAGAGAATGTCTTTTCATCTAACTCATATATTTTTCCCATTCATTTCCTGTCCAGCCAAAGCCATTTCTTTTAAATTTTGAATATTGCCAACAGTTCTTTATTATACTTCCTGCTGGGTTATGTTTACTGCTGTGTTTAATTCTGATCCAGTAATAAAGTGTTATTTTTTTGGCTTGTCTAATTTTTAAGGAGTCTCTCCAGACTCTACTAACAGAGCATTGATTAGGTTTGTCTTAGCTGCTCCAGTAACTACTTGTTATGCCCTATATTGCAATGTATCTGTTATGTGTAATGTTGATTTTGCTGCTGCACCATATAAAATACGTTCGTAATCTATTGCTGATCTCAAAAGAGCCTTGTAAATATTTAGTAGTGACTCCTTCTTGCCCCCCCAGTCATTCCTAGCCAAAGCTTTCATTATATTTAGACTTAGACAGACTATACAAAATTAAATCTTGATGTATACAGCTTTCAACATTGAATTGGCATCTTACAACAGTGAGATGGAACATTTCCATTTATAAAGTGCAGCAGTGATCATAAAAATATGGTGCAAGACGCAATATAAACATTGAGTTTAGTTCTATTTAGAAGGATTTGGAAATTAGCCATGCAGTGCAAATAGGATGTTTACAATGTGATGCAGACCCGATTTTAGATTTTAAAAGTTCAACAGTCTAATGGACTGGGGAAAAAGCCGTTGCCGAACCTGCTGGTCTGGCATCAAATGCTTCAGAGTCTCTTCCTAGAGGGGAGCTGGGAGAACAGTCCATGGTGGGGGTGTGAGGGATTAGTGAGGATGTAATGGGCTCGCAACAAGCAGAGCAATGAATGAAATGTTTTTAATGGAGGGAAGAGGAGCCCCAATAATCCTCTCTGCTGTTCTCACCACTCTCCTCACGTTCTTCCAGTCTGAGGCGCTGCAACAACACAGTGAGACATTTACTTTCTTACATTTTATTTCTAATTGCTTAATATGCATTTTCCCTGTTTATGAACCATCTAGCCATAACCCTAATTATTTGAAATCTGTTCCTCTTTTTATAAGCTGATCATATAATATTATTTCTCCTATCCTACTTCTTTTCCCAAATGGAAAAGCAAATAACTGAGGAATTTTAAATTACATTTGTGGTGTGAAAGCATTTGAAAGCTAAAACATTCTAGATTCTGAAAATATAAATAAAATAGCATGACAGCATCCCATAAATTTGAACACAGCCTATGGGGTGGGTGCCCAACCAGTCGATCGCGGGTGGAGTTTCAGTCGATCGCAAGTTTTACAAGGTAGACCTATTTATTATGGCTATGACAAAAAAAAAAAAAAAAACGTTTTAAAAAACACTAATCAAATAATTGATCACGAGAGGCCAACGTCTATTTTCATAATAATAAAATGAAGTGTAAAAAGTATGCAGGGAACCTTTTTTATGCATAGTGATTGCTGGGCATGGTTTGCCATGGTTCCTAGGTTGTTACCAGGGACTCTAAAGCGCGAGGAGGAATCTGAAGAGATAATGAGAAAATTACATCTATCACAACTGATGGGGCTCCATCTATGGTTGGTCGCACTGCTGGATTCGTTGCATTGTTCAATGTGCATGAAACTTTCCCGGATTTTTGGAGCTGATCTGCTGCTGCACACAGACGTCAGGCGGCTGAGCCGTGGTAGATTCTTCGAAAGATATTTGGAACTGTGTTGTTCTTCGATTCTATATAGAACAGACGAGGCGTGTAAACTTGTTCTGTATATTTATTTCCAAACTTCAAAAGAACCTTTCAGTAGCAAGCTACATTCAGAACTGCCCCCTCGCACTAGCCTCCAACCCGTGACGCCAAGCGGCCCATTGCATGCTGGGTATTGGAGTTCAAGAGCTTTCTGGCTCATGACATCACAGGAACTTTTGCCCGAAATTAAAGAAACAGTCTACAACCCATTCTGCTGTATGTTACATCTTCACATCCACATAGTTTGTACTTAGTATTTTCCTATTTTTATCTGTTTTCCTGTTGAATTTTAATCCATCTGCCAGTTTCTCTGCCAATGCCAATGCCCAGTGAAGTTTATCATTCTGAAATAGTGGACTTCCCTTCTCCTTCTTCCTGCTTTCAAGTCATCTTAGACTTAGACAGATTTTATATGTCCTTTTGTTTACACAAGTGTAAACAAACGGACTTATACAAATACACACATATATATATATATATACATATATACATACATATATATATATATATATATATATATATATATATATATATATATATATATATATATATATATATATATATATATATATATATATATATATATATATATATATATATATATATATATATATATATAAGAGAGCTTAGTAAGCCACCTTATGTCAAAAATGATTGATGACATATGACCTTATGACCTATGACCTTATGACCTCCCCCCTCCCCCCTTCCGGTCCCCTCCCCCACAAATGATTTATGACATCACCCCTCCCCCCTTCCGGTCCCATCCCCCATCTTTCCGGATCCCCAAGATTGATGCTTCCCTCATAAGACATCAACCACACATTTCCCTTAAATTAGGCTTTAAAATGTGTTTAAACTATTCCATTTTCCATTAACAAATCTTATTTTATTTTAAATACAGATGTCCTTTCATCAAGCCTCTGTTTACTTTCCTAAATGGATTTACTCTCACTGATCAAGCTTTCTTTTGTGTAAAGACCATTGTTTAATTCATCATTAAAGTCTGTGATCCAAGGTTTTATAAATCACTGCAATGTTCATAATATTTGTTAGTCAAAAACTTAAAGCTACAGTGTGTAATTTTTAGCGACATCTAACGTCCAGACTGCAGACCGCCTGAACATGAACATCTCCCCCCCCCACCGCTTCTCCCCCCCAACAGTACGGCGAGCATTACGGGACAAAATGTCTTCCACGACGTCCGCATCACCTACCTTCTCAAGTGATGAGGTTTGTTTACATAGAAAATTTTACAGATAGTATTCTCAGGCATAATACTGCCATCTATTGTTCAGTACCGTCTCAGTTCATTTCTCTCAACTTGCCGTAGTTACTTTCGAGTGTAATGGGCGATCTCGCAATCGCTAGTTTGTTGGCTCTGCGCTGCCGTAGCGCAAAGATGTCTGCCTCCATGGCTGCGAGACCCGCTCCTATGTAATTATAAATAACGAATTCTAAGGCAACGCAAATATTAAGGTTAAGAGGCTGAGCTCGTAGATGATGATAAATAACATAGTTATGTATAATATATTACATTTCTGACTGTATATCCCTGTAATTATTACACACTGTAGCTTTAACCTGACTTCCTCGTAGGTTTTGTTTCTTAAAGGGTTTTAAAATGTGTTTATATTACTCTATACCTTTTCCATCCACAAAGCTTGCTTTAATTTAAATACAGATGTCCTTTCATTAAGCTTCTTTGTATTTTTATAAATTAATCTACCGTCACTTTCAAACTAGGATACAAACATTACTATTCAACCTGTTACATCCATAGTCTAGTCTGCTAGATATGCAAAATAAAAATGTGTTACTCACAAACACAACTTGAATTGTTAGCAAGTTTCCTTTCTTAAATCAATCCAACTAACTTTTCTATCCACAAAACCTGCTTTTATCATGCTTCAATGTATTTTCTCTATTTGTCTATTATTCTATGATCAGCCCCCAGAAACCTTAATAAACCATCCTTCCAGAAACAGTCAGCCTTCAGCCCTCTTTTGTGTAAAGACCAATGTTTAATTCATCATTAAAGTCTGTGATTCAAGGTTTTATAAATCAGGCTATGGTCAAAAAAAAAAAAAAATGTCTTACTCACAAACACAACTTGAATTGCTAGCAAGTTTTTTTTCTTTAATCAAACCAACTAACTAACTTTTCTACCCCATCCTGCAGCCCTCAGCTCAGGTCAACTTTACCATCAACCAAGCTGTAAAACATGTTTTGGGTCCTTTGTTCCTTTCCCGCGCTGCAAAAGAGACAAATTTATCTATCATCCAGCTGTTATCTAAACATCCAGTTGAAATCTCCAGGTTGGGACACCCGTACATAAGGCTGCATGATCCACGGGTATTATATTTAAACTTTTCAACCCTTAAACTTTTAACCTTTTCTACCTCAGACCTAACCCATCACACACAGACACACACAGACACACACAGTAACACACACACACACACACACACCTTTGTATTTTTCTAAATTAATCTACTGTCACTTTCAAACTAGCATACAAACATTACTATTCAACCTGTTACATCCATAGTCTAGTCTGCTAGATATGCAAAAAAAACTAAATAAATAAATAAAAGAAATGGAAAGCTCTCCCTATTCATTAGAAACAAAACTTGACTAGATCCATATCATTTAGAAGCTTGTTTTTTTTTTTTTTTATCTTCTTTTTTTCTTTTCAGAGTGAGAGAACCACAGTCTGTTTAATCACAAAATAGAAGATCAGTGTTTTACGAAGGAGGAGATCCGGAAAGGTACGTGTTCTCTGGTAAACTGTAGGACCTCTGC